TCTTTGATTATTTCTATTTATATGCTTATAACAAGTAAAATAAAAAACAACTGAATTTTTCTTGAAATCTATTTTTGTTTTCTTTTTTTTTTACTAATGTTTTTTTTTGCAGTAATTGCGAATTGGAACCGGGAATAATAATCTAGAACCATAAAAAAAATTGTGACATGTGCAAACGTACTAGTTTCTAGTAATTTGTTTGTAGTGTTGAATTAGCGTATTTGTAGTAATTGTATTGTAAGAGGTCATGTAGATTAAAATATGTACAATTTTTTTATTTTAATAAAGTAAAAGTTTTTTAATTAAAATAAAAATTTTTTATTATTTTGTCATTTTAATACGTATGTATATATATATTAATAAATATGATTTTTATTATATTAGGTATATATTGATTACTAACTATTTTGGCTATATATCGATTATAATCATAATCGATAGAACCCCGCAGGGGTGATTGGCATCGATATATATTCTCCTGGTTAATAATTGATATATATCCCCTTATAAAATTTCCTGATGTAGAAGATGAACGGATTAGCAGATATTAACATACTACCAAGTCATGCAATATTTACTTTGCCACCTAAAACAAGAAGGATGTCTAGTTCGAATCAAGCATTATCTAATTGTCCACAATTATTAGTTAATTCTTTATCGCAATTGCTATCGCAAATGCTATCACAATTGCTATCACAATCTCTTCCACAATCGTCATCACAACTATTTTCACAATCATCATCACAACCATTTCTACAATCACTTCTGCAAGCACCTTTACAAGTAACTTCACAAATACCTTTGCAAACAAATAATTTTTCATTACAACCATTAAATAATTTTTTTTTAAATTTATCTAATGTTTCTTCACAAATGTCACCAAATGTTCTCTTGCAAATTCCCTTACAAATGCTGCCAAATATTCTTTTACAAATACCACCTTTATATATACTATTTTCTCAATTATTGCCCAATATTTCTTTACAACCCTATTTCATACTATTTTTAATTTTTCCTAATTTACAGCCATTATATGCTTCAACAAATAATTTAATGTTACGAAAATTATCAGCAACTTATTTAAAATCTGTTCCTAAACTTGATGAATTTTTAACAAAAATAGACGAAGCTGAGAACACAGATGGTAAAATTTTAGCATGTTTATCAAAATTCAATAGATCTATAAATTAACTGATGAGCAACTTGATTTAGTTGGAATTACAAAAACGGGATAGAAAATTGCATTGCGAGAGGCTTCTAAAGAGTATAGCTAAAAATAGTTTTATATAAAATTTTTTTAATATTGTAATTTTTTATCATTTAGATAGCTGCACAAGAAATGAGGATAGGATATAATTTTTTTTTGTCATAATAACCAGAAGTTTTTTAGACTACAATAGACAGTTTATAAAATAAGTGATTGTGGAGTAATTAATTGCAATTAACTTACGATTGTAATTAATACTTATCAATTGCAAATTTTCTGGAATATGCAATTTTAGAGAATATTATGCTTTATATTGTAACTATTACTAGGAATGCAAATAATAAAATATAGGGTCAGGCCAATTTTAATATTCAGTAAATAGGCATGTCTTTTATAGCTCTTAGAAGTCTAATTGAGCAGAATATTACTATACAGCAAAGAAGTATTGAAATTGAAGTGATGCTATAAAAAGTATTAAGCAGATTATATAATTTTATAGATATGAATATCTGTAAAATCCTATGCCGTAATAGATTTTGAGACAATGCTAGTATTATGACCAGAAAGAGACTTTATACTAGCACTCTCAATTTAGCTTAGGGCCAAAAGTATTAAAATAGGGAACCAAGTATTTATTATCACACACAAGGCACTAAAATATACTAATAATATATCCAATATAAGCAAGTATTTCTCACAAGTAACCAACGTGAATAGCACTATTGATTCTACAATCATTATAGAATCCAAGTCTTAATAAGCCAAATTGAAGTTACAATTCAATTCAGTCTATCAAATTGAGTCTCAAATAGGTTATTAAAGTTACAAGGCAAATTCAACAATAGATTTCAAGAAAAATTCAGTAGGTTTTGTATTTTACTTGTCATAAGCATATAAATAACTCTATATAAAATAATCAAAATTAAGTCTTATTCTTTACCACAATCTCTACAAGTAACCAATGTGAATAGTACTATTGATTCTACAATTATTATAGAATCCAAGCTTAATAAGCCGAATTGAAGTTACAATTCAATTCAGTCCATCAAATTAAGTCTTGAATAGGTTATTAAAGTTACAAGTTGAATTCAACAATAAATTTCAAGAAAAATTCAGTTAGATTTTGTATTTTACTTGTTATAAACATATAAAAACTCTATATAAATAATAAACATTAAGTCTAATTCTTTACCACAATCTCTACAAGTAACCAACATGAATAGTACTATTGATTCCACAATCGTTATAGAATCCAAGTCTTAATAAGCCAAATTAAAGTTGCAAATCAATTTAGTCTATCGAATTGAGTCTCAAATGGGTTATTAAAGTTACCAGTTGAATTCAACAATAGATTTCAAGAAAAATTCAGTTAGGTTTGTATTTTACTTGTCATAAGTATATAAATAACTCTATATAAAATAATTAAAAATTAAGTTTCATTCTTTACTACAATCTCCATAAGTAATAGTTAGGTCTCATTCTTTACTACAATCCCCACAAGTAACCAATATGAATAGCACTACTGATTCTACAATCATTATAGAATCCAAGCTTAATAAGCTAAATCGATGTTGCAAGTTAATTTGTCTATCAAATTGAGTCTCGAATAGATTTATTAAAATTACAAGTCAAATTCAAAAATAGATCTCAAAAAAAATTCAGTTAAGTTTTGTATTTTACTTGTCATAAGCAAATAAATAACTATATATAAAATAATCAAAAATTAAATTTCATTCTTTACCACAATCTCAAGTCTCATTCTTTACCACAATCTCTACAAGTAACCAACGTAAATAGCACTATTGATTCTACAATTGTTATAGAATCTAAGTCTTAATAAGCCAAATTGAAGTTGCAAGCAATTCAGCTATCGAATTGAGTCTCGTATAGGTTTATTAAAATTATAAGTCAAATTCAAAAATAGATTTCAAGAAAAATTCAGTTGTTTTTTATTTTACTTGTTATAAGCATATAAATAGAAATAATCAAAGA